CCAGTCTCTCTCCCCCCCCCCGGCCCGCCAAACCTTCTCCCTCTGTGGCGGCGGCGGTGAGGCAGTTTGCAGAGCGTTTCTTTGCTCCTTTAAACATCCCCCCGATATTTTTTACAGGGTTTCAGATTTTTGTGCACACCTGGGGACCGCCCCACGTGTGCACAAAACTCTCCCTCCCCCCCAGGTATCCGCACACCAGGGGGCGACTTGGCTATTAGATATATAGATATAGATATATATGTCTATTTTGCAGTTGTGTTTTAATAGGTTGTAAACAATAAGTTGTTGTTAAGTGTATTAAGTAAATTGTTTCTTTTTTGAAAAATAAAAAATGTTAGTATTAAAAAAAAATGGTCCCTTCCCCACTCAAAAACACAGGCAATGTCTCAATGACTGGCTGTGATTAAACACCCTCAATGCCCAGAAGAATCTAGCTGGCAACCATTTCTACCTTAAACCTATTGCTCCCCCAAGATTTGATTATCAGTTCACTCCTGGATGTTTGTTCACTCTCTAAACCAGCCAGTGACCAGTTCACTCCAGTCACTTATTACCACAGCCCTTGGTGTGCCATTTCTGCATCTATAATTTTCCGACCTGGCAGTTAAAATTAAACTGTCCACTATGATTCAAACCTTTGTGTGTGTATTGCTTCAGTGTCAAGCTGTCTAAGGTAAAGGTTTCCAGCATCTGTGTATGTGCCTCGGGCTCTCTGCACGCCTCTTGCTTTTCATGATCTATTTTTCTAAATAAAGATTTAGACTTTGATTTTAGTTTCTGCTAGCTTTATTTCTGGGAACCTCCCCATTCCCATAATGAATTGCTACCACCAAATTCTTGGTGTTTGTATGCAAGAAGCGGTGGTCCCTAATTTATCCAGATAATTGCGTGTGTACGCTCTTAACAAGCAAGGGGAATGGTTCCAAACACTGGGGGTCATACACATGTAGGTCATTTGAGTAGCATCAGTAAGGAGCAGATCATAGATGAAATGAAAGATTTTGGCCTGAGACCTTGGAGAGCTGTTGCCAGTATGAGTAGACAATACTGACTTTGACAGTATGAGTAAGACAAAACTGACTTTGATGGATTAGTATAAGGCAGCTTCATGTGCGTTCTCTTAATTTTCAGATCCAATCCTATCACAGTTAGGGTCGTACCAACCGTATTTTCATTGAACATAAAGGGAGACAGAAACCAAGAAGGGGCGTCACACCAGAATCTTTATGTATTAAGATACTTGGCATCAAATTCTAAACCATGCAGTGACAGTCAAGGGGAACAAGCAGAGGACCTTCAAGAACTTGCAGGGGCATTTCATTTTCTCCTCTCCACACAGCTTCTTTTTTCCCTTCCCTGGCAGTCTCCGTAGCCTCTCCCCTTTTTCCTGCTTTCTTCTCTCCTTCCCACCCCACCAAACTACCTTTATATCCCTCCTCCATGTGACAGTCTACACCCAGGGAAACTATGACTCAGCTGTGTAGTGGGTAACCTGCAGGGA